TATATATATATATATATATATATATATATATATATATATATATATATATATATATATATATATATATATATATTTTGTATACATATCTGTGTATATAAGAAAAAGCACATTATGGTATTATCATGTACATAATACAACACGCCGTATTAGTATTTACATAAGAACCAGCTATAATTTAATTTTCTACTCGTAGTTTGCTCACATCTGAACAGCAGCAGCAAACAAACGTTCATTTCAGTAGTAACGGTTTAATATAAATGTTGCATAATAAATTTGATTGCAATGTTTTGCGGGTTTTGACAGCTAATGCTAAAGCTAATGCTAACTTCATTGAAGGCCATGCACTCGCCAAAACTTACAACCCAGCACGCTCAAGATGAAGGAAAATGCGTTTTTGTGCACATCTGGCAGTTAAAATATGTAAATAAGTAGTTGAACCGCATAATTCAACATATGAATCATAATTTTACATGCAGCGCGTGAGTCGCATCTCGGTCACTTACCTGTTTAATGTACATGGCGGCTTATGCACAAAACTCTCCTCAGAAACCAGCCGAATTAAACACCCTCCTCCTCAGAGAGAAGAAGGGTTTAAGAGAAGATAAATATGTCTGCACACCGGTTAAATTTGTCTGATATTTACTACTCTGGACTATCAAATTTTATTTTCCCTCCCTTCACGAAACAGACATAACAGTCAAAATGGCGACAGAGGCGGGACGAACGGACGAGTCTACTTAACTTTTTAGGGGGACTTATAATTATTGTTTATTATAAATGTTTAAAGGAATAGTAATGGAGCGCAGAAACTTCATATTTCAAGATAACTTAATTATATGTGTTAATAATTAAATGAGCTCCTTGCTTTTTCATTAGTTTCATATCCATTTGTCTGTAACCCTACCCCTATTTCTGTAAACTTAGTTTAGTCCGTCGAGGTAGCGATTGGGCGCCAAGACAGCTGCTCTGCAGAATAAAAACACTTGAGCTAAAGCGCATGTTATGCTCATTCATCATTTTACCTCCTTTCACGTTTCTTTCTTGCTATTGAGACAGTATATAGAGTACATGGATACTCATTCAATAGCACATTTTCTTTCACACTTAAACCTTCTGCATAACTGAACAGTGTTCTGTACTTTACTCTAAAAAAATCATGAACAACTAGCTACTAATTTCATGTTCAACCGTGTAATTAGGTTACCATACTAATTACTCTCTCTGAAAGTATTTCATTACTTTTTACTAATTACTTTCTAAATCCTATATCAACCTTGACCAGTTGAACATACAAGACATGAAACTGCTCTTTTAATTCTTTCAAATGAATAATAGAAAACTGCATAAATTATTCTTGAACTGACCAAAGTATGGGGGCAATTTTACATTAAGAACATGCATTTTTTTGGTTAAATTCCCTATTGTTTTATATAGAATTGTACAGTATTTCAAGCAAGTTCATCAGAAGTAACTAGCCAAAGGTCAAGTTATAGGTTTTGAACAATGGATGCAAACAATGCAGACAGAGTAAGGGGAGTTGGAGGGAGAGGAGTTGAAAGAGGAGCAAGAGGAGGAGTTGGAAGGGGAGGAAGAGGACGAGTCGGACAGGGAAGAGGAGGAGGACAAAGACCAGGAACAAGAGTGGTCTCTGAGATTAGGGCTACTATCATTGATCATGTGATCAACCATGGTCTAACAATGAGAGAGGCTGGACAGAGTCCGCTGGTATAATTCGAACCTTTAGAAATGATAACGGGTATGTAACAATTTACTGTAATGTACATGTTCTAATGTACACATAATAGCTATTTCAGCATAACATACGGTATACTATAATACATATATTTTAGCACCATGCATCCATTTACTGTAGTGCACTGCACAATTGTTCAGTCTGGTGGGTTATCATACTGTACAACAGTACAGCTCAATGTAAGAAGACATTCTGACTGTATTGTATAAAATAGTATGCATTGTTACAGTTTATGGCACACACTCACAGTATTCTTGAATCTTCTACAGAGTAGCAAGGCAAAGGTTTAATGGTGGGCGAAGTCACAAGTTCACTGAAGAGCAAGAGACGGCGATCGTGAATTTGGTTTTGGCCAATAATGCTATAGGAATTCATGAAATATGCAATATCCTTAATGATGCCACAATTTTTGCTAACATAAATGCTGTGAGCCCCTCAACAATACATAGTGTCCTCCAGAGAAATCAACGGAGAACGAAACGGCTGTATAAGGTCCCAATTGAACGGAACTGTGACAGTCAAGAACCTTCGACATGACTTTGTGGAGGTATGCATACAACACTTTCTCTTTTCTCTCACAATTGATAACACTCTCTAAACCTTATCACACTATGATGCATTTGTGCTGCAAAATGCTAAACACAAGCGGCAAAAGTTAAACACAACTAAAGCACAGTTGTCATCGTTTACACACAACGATTCAAAATTGTTCACACTTGTTTCTAATGATGTGATCAAACCAACTGTACAAAATATGAGCCAGCTCAGAGTGCACAAGTGTCACAGGTGACTGAATGATAATACGAACAATAGATGGAAACAATCTGAGAAGGAGAAGAGGAAGAGTACATGTAAGAAGTGGAGAATGAGGAGGAAGAGGGTGTGGAGAGAAAGAGTAAGGTTTAGAGAGTGTTATCAAGGCTATCCAAGTGCTGAATATATACAAACATTCAGTACTATTCAATATTAAGCACAATACTGTTCTTGCAGTACAGTTGGTCTTTACAATATATTCACCTTACTCCGTTGCAGTTACTATACTTTTTTACAGAATTGCAAAAATGTTTACTCAATACAATATACTTTTTTCTGTAATGTTCTGGATGCAGTGTTCTCCGTTTTTCTCTGTGGTGTCTAATGAATGCTCTGTAGTGTTTATTTTATTGACTCGTGTGTGTGATCTGAGCGCACCGGTTGATTTTGAGTGCAAGTGAAATGGTTTTGCAGTGATTGTTTGATTTTGATGGAAGAGTCAGAGGTTTCGTGAATTTAGTTTGAGTATTTGGATTTGTGCTTAAGGTTTTGAGAAGATGAGTGATAGTTTCAAGAAATGTGTTTTAGCAATTCAGAAAAACTGTAATATATACAAAACACAGACTGATTACTTATGGATTCAGTCAGATTCTGTGACTAGCAATCGCTGTTTGTGTGCCTGCATGCAGAACATTAATGAAGTACAACACACGTTTTTTTTTTTTTTTTTTTTTTTTTCTTCCCCAAAGAATGGGTATTTTGCTATGTTATTTTAATATTGCATCACAAAAGTTTTTATTATCGCTAATCATTTTGTTGATATGTTCATAATGCACTTTCAACATGTTTTGCGCACCAAAGCTCTCGATGTGTCTCTACTTTCTGTGTGCATCCCAAATGGGCGCCAAAATAAATTTAAAGGCTTACTTATGTTCCACTCAAAAGTATACTATAGTGTGTATATATATATATACTTCTGCAGTGTTTGTCACAGCAGAGGTCACTGTTGTATCTTTTTACTGGTCTAAAGTCCTTATGATGTTTCGTGAGGGCAAACATTTATAATCTGTCACTATATAATAACAATGACATGTTCCTTTATTGACATAAGTGTGATTTTTGGTAATTATTGTTGACTGAAGTATATTTTCTCTCTGTTTTTAGAGGAATATCTGCAAAGTTTGTTTGAAAATGGTCAAATATGTTAAAAAGAGCACACACTGATAATAAAGTGACACTATGAACAAATTTTACACTTGTGTAAAAACGTTTATTAACAGATCCACAATTCATAGAAAAAGAAACTGTTTAAAAAATAATAATAATTTAATTTGCCCAGCTAGGCGCTGTTGATTGGCAGAACATCATCCAGCTAAGGCAGGTATTGCAGTGTAATCATTGTGCAGTGGTTTTCTCTAAGGCAAACAAAATCAAAAAGCAAACACTGTCTACCATGATTTTTTTTTTAAATATGAAAACATAAGCATTTTTATTCCCTGTGATAGTCCATTGCTTTTTTTCAGTTCGCCCGTCCATTATTTTTCAAGTACACTGAGACTGCGATGAGTCAGGCAGCCATTTTAAGGCAGCGCAGTTATTGGACTCAGTTTGAACTGGTGAACCGACGACTGGATGGGCATTGGTGTCAGGAAGGAGGTAGGGAAGGTGAAAACCGAGGACTCGAAGTTCTCGGTTTCGAGCGTGAAGTCACCACTAAAGAAGGTGGGCGTCTCTTGAGCGGCAGGAGTGGCGGACGGAGGCGTGGAAGAAACCACCTCCGACTCGAACTGCAGTAGTTGACCCATGAAGCTAAAATTGGGCGAGATGATGGCACGCCGCTGTCGGATGACGTCAAAGGCCTGCTCCAAGCGCAACCGTTGGGTTTTCATGATGTACGCCATGCAGATGGTGGGAGAACGAGAGATTCCAGCCTCGCAGTGGACCAGCACTTTACCTCCCTCTGCTTTCACACGTTCTGTGGAGAGAAAAGTACATGAATTCATTACAAAAGCTCTCGAAATAACAGCATGAGTCACCAAAAACACAGACAAGTCAAACTTCAAGCCAGACTTTATTTATAAAGCACATTTAAAAACAACAGAAGAGCCCTGTGCACTTTTAGGCCTATGGAAAGAAAGAAAGAAAGAAAGAAAGAAAGAAAGAAAAATAATAAAAGGTGAAGTAGCGGCACCAGACAAAATAATAATGACTGTTTTCAAACAAGTTTCCCCAAACACGCCCCTCATCTGCTATTGGTCAGCCAAACAAATAGCCCCGCCCCAAATTCACACCATTGGTTGAGCCAGTGTTGCTATGCTGGACTGGTCAAATATTCAAAGAAACAAAGCAATATTTTGAAAACACCACAGAGACAAAGTTTAGACTTTTAAGGGAAATTATCCTACACTGAAAAAAAAAAAAATTATGTCGGATTTATGATTTCACAGAAATTGCTTGTAAATTTCACCAATAATTACATAGAAACGTCAAGCAACATATTGAATTGTATGTGAAATTTTGGAAAAATAAAGACTGAAATGTTCTTCTTTTAAAACGTACTTAATAAACTTTGTTTTATTTACAACTCTCATGTAAAAAAAATCATTTTTACAGTGTACGAATAACTTATAGTTTGAGCACATTCATTTTGGTATATGAAATATGTTTGCATAACATTACAATGTGTACAAATGCCATAAAATGGCTTTGAGTTACAGAGTTGTGAGAGGGAACAAGTGAAACGTAATCATGGTTATTTTTCACAGTTCTTCTGATATCCTCTGTCCGTTATCGCTCGGCTAATTCATTTCCTCCCTGACCCTTTTTTATCGTAATGTCATATCAATTTCATTCCACCCCAGAAAGTTCTGACGCACAAATCCATAAACTCACACCATTAGGGAAAGCTCAGATTGCGTATTCCTGTCTAATTCAATACAGCTAAGCAGATTCCAGCCTCATATCTCTGAACGACGCACACACGAGAAGTGAAGCGCGTGTTCATGCAAGATCCCTCGCTGCTGGTCTCTTTAAAACAAAACATGCTGGTGTGAATCATGCCTGAAGCCCATCTGGAGCGGAGCGGGGCCGAGCTGTGGGCGCCATAATGACTATCACACTCGCTAATGCGCCTAAATATTACCACACACTCATTAGCCGAAGCTTTCGATGGACTATTCTTTCACTGCTATCGCTTTCCTGCGGGAGACCAAATTACCTCACGGTCTCTTAGGTAATATCGTCTATATTGAGGTAAATGTAAATGAAACTTGGGTATAATCGAATGAAACGTGGGATACGCAAGTCCTTGAATGACAGACAGGATGACATGGTTAAAGCCTCACCAGAATACAGGTCAAACAGGGAGTTTTGGTCACATGTGAAGTCTATGTAAACAACGTCTACACTCTTAAAGGTGACATATCATGAAAATCGGACTTTTCCAGGTTCTAAGTGCTATAATCAGGTCCCCGGTGCATCTACCAACCAAGGAAACGTGAAAAATATTAACCCAGTAACTTTGTTTTGGGAAGCCTTTTTCTGCAAGCGTCTGAGAAAACGAGCGCGTCTGATTTCGCTCTCTTGGTGACGTGGCAAAGGGATCTCATTATAATATCACCGCTCCCTTAATCTGTAAGTTTACACCCACGGCGGCCGTTATTGTGTTATCGCAAGCGACAACGGTGTACCAGCTCTAATGCCATGGCGAAAGTTTGAGCAAAGCATGCTAACTGTTCTGCCTTTGTCTGCACAGACGAGCACAGAACACTGTTTA